AGATCAGAAGCAATAAATACAGGTTTTGAACATTTTTCTCCCCGGTATGTCTGTGTGAAGGACTAAACTATGAAGTGTTTGTCTCAAAGATAGCCTTGGATGGAGGACTGCACGTGTGGAAGAACTGTGTGAGTCTGGGTCCAGACCATGCTGTCAGAAGCCAAGCACGTGTGTGTGAGTCACGGGCCATTCCAGAGGAGCCCCTGGGTACACACTGGCTTGCCCCCTACCCGTCCTCCCAGCCAGGGAGGTGCAGCGTGGGCATGCACATGGGACAGGCCCGGGCCTGGCCCAGGCCCGGCAGCCCCTCCGCCTGAGCCCCTGCAGGCACACTTCCAGTATGCGACACTCGTGTGGTACCCGCATGGACCTGAGGACTCGTGTCGTCAGGACCTGGCCCGGACCCTATTTGAACCGGCGCAGACACTGCCCAGTCTCTCTTTTTCCTCACCTGCTCACCACGGGCTTGCCTGCTCATGGATCTCCGGCCTGCTCGCCGCCTCACTGCTGCTCCACCGCCCACCCCCGAGGCTGAGACAGCTCCAGCCCGACGGCGTGCTGGGGGCCCGTGATGGTAACTGCTCTGGCGACTCTCTACCCACCTCTTGCTTCATTTCTGCCTTTTATTTTCACTCTGTCCTATTGCTACTCTTTTCTAACATTTTTCTCTTTTTGTGATAAATCTATATTGGGTATATGGCATTTGACTTAGCTTGTGTCTTAATCTCGCCTCTTGGGATCATGTCAAAACCTCCCCTGACATCGGATCGGGACAGTCTGCCTCCAACATACAATTGTCACATTTGCAAGCACATGTGCTGTAGCCCTTCCCAACTTACACCTACCTTGTTATTTGTTCCTTGATTCCACGAGAGCTATGCAATCAGTGTCAAGATAACGGAAAACCTCCGTCACCCCGCCACCTTTTTGATGCTGTTGTATTAAAGCTAATGAGAAACGAGAAAATGTGCATGCATGAAATGATTAACATGTGCAGCTGCTTTCAGGCTTTAGAGACTGTTGTATCAGTACAGTGAGAGTCTGGGTGGACATATTTGAGCATTCACTAACTCAATTAGCTACAATTTAGCACAAGCTTATAATAAACTTACGCTAAGTGAAAAAGTTTCCTTGAAGTCTGGGTTGCCACAGCTACCTACAGGTAACACTAACATCTTTGAGATGATAACAAACTCTCAATTCCAAAAATTTGTCTTTTCAAGGTGTTCTCACAAGCCTTTCCTGTTAGTTAGAGAATTGGAGCCCAGTGAGGGGAAAGACATGGTAGCCCATTTCAGTTCACCTCATTCTGTCACCAAGCTTCCCAGACAGTACTTTAGTAAACCCTTAAGCATTATTACTGGGACCAGTTACTTGACCCTATAGTCAAGCAGCCGCAGCTATGGATAGCTGCACCCCTGTCCATTCTGGCTGTCCAATAGGAACTTGTTTAAAAATTAGAAAAGGGAAAAACAAAGGCCCGACCATGAACTCGGGCAATAGACTGGTGAAAGGTAGAAATGGTAAGGTTCCTGCTTGTGATCCGTCTGTATCAGAACGGATGGAGGCACACAGAGACATGTGCTGCACCCTACTTAAACACAACTTCAATATGTCAATCAGAGGTTTCCATTTGACACATAATTTAGATAAATGGCACCTATAATCAGAATGGATTAATATACCTATCAATAGAAATAGAGGTATACATGTTTACCATGTGGAAATTTAACCTTTGTGTAAAGTGGGGTTTTTTTTCATTTTCATCACATTTTGCCAAAGAGCATGCAATGCCTCTGTGCATGCAAATGCCTCTACAGCTATTTGCGTACATATATAAATATAATAATCTCTTCATACAGAAATGTATGTATTTGTAAATTGTGTGAATGTAAATATAAGATAGGCCATATGTCCCAAAAGTCCCAAAAGAGCATCTGACGTTGATATGTAGACAGTGTGTTAGGGACCCTCCTAATTAATAACCCAGATTAAAACCTCTTGGCAATCAATTAAGATTAACGACAGAAGTCATTCTCTATCCCTCTATGCCTGCGTCTCAGGCTGTGAAAATCCTGGGTCGTGAAACTTTAATCCTGTTATCTGCTGCCTTCTTCATCTGAAAAGCCTACAGATTAACACAGCAGACATTATCGAATTTACAACCAGCCGCTCAGACAGCTGCCCTACTTTCAGCAGTTAATGGAAAAGGAACTAATCTGGTTAGGAGCATAGGACTACTTCACAAATCTGGACACACAAGACAGTTGAAGCTGTCACGCCTCTTCCGGAGAGCAGCAACCAAATGAACCTGTCAGCTTTCTTCTGGCTGCTTCTAGACAGTGGCCGGTCTCTCCATAAGCTGGACTGATGAGACACTCAGCATTAACAAAAGCAGCATACGGGCTGGGCCCAAGCTGGGAGCTGTGTTTTATGACTGGGTTTGGTTCCATACATACTGCCCTCTCTTCACTGGAAGCCAGGTAGTGATTACATCTAACTGGTCTTACTGCAGTCCACTCTCTCACTCCCTAAAAAAGAGGCTTTGAGGAATTAAGAAAACAAATTTGTTTTTTCCCTCTTGAATCATGCCCAGTGAAACAAAGAGTTACTAACTCTTCCAGAAGGCTGATGAAAGCCATGCAGCCCGCTGCTGTGCAGCAGCAGGCCACCCCACGAACGGTCCGTCGGAGCTGTTCTCTCCATTGTCTTCTGTGGGAGTACTGGTCTAACCAGTTAAAACATCATCACCTTAAAACTGACAAGTAGATTTATTTCTTTCTGCTGTTTCTTTCCCACAAGTGTTGATACTCACACTAATGAATGCTGAATGCTTGTTTTAAAAAGAGCAACAGCACTCATCTGCACAAAGGGAGGGAGTGCCAAAAGTAACTGCCTACGTAGGTGGGAAGTTCTCCTTGTTTCTCCTAACACCAGAACAACATTGTCTTTTACTAAAGATGATGACTGCTCCTTACACTGATTGACAGCTAGCAAACCCAACTGCTAAGATAACCACTCTCGCTGCGATGGGCACCTGAGAGGCAGACTGCAGACCAGCTTTAACCAAGTGAAGCTGTGATACCCATTTACGATGAGTGTCCTCTACTATCTAGATCTTTTAATCACAGAATATTCCTCTGAGTGTTCAGCACAAGAAAATTTTACTAAGCTCATGATTCATAATTGAGCTTATTTCTTGGCTATCGCTCACTATCAGTTATTTTGTATAACATAGAGATGTTTACAAAGTAGTATTATTTTAAGCATGTTTGTCTTAAGGCTGCAGCCCCTCCTATGAAAGAGTCTTTAAAGCAGGTAAATGCTAATAGGCTTATAATTAAAGACAAGTAAAAACTTCTTCCTTTTTATTAGGCTGTTTTGTAGCATTAAAAAAGCTGAATCTGTTCTGTATTTCTGCTATAGAAACTCTTTTACAATTTGCTATAGATTTTTTTTCCTTTTACCAGTTGCATGTGCATCCTGATAGAGCAAAATCTTAAACACAAGTGCCGTAGGCTATTTGTGCACTTAAAAGACATCTGTGTGTGTGAATGTACATAGCATGAGAGTCTCAGCCATTATCAAATGGCAAGGTCATATAAAGAATTTAAAAAACCCTGATGATTACCTTTAGGTACCAAACTACAAATGAGAAAACAGAGGGATTTAGAGAAAAGGACTGGACCCTATCACTGGCACCGCGAGCCCATGCCAGGTTGTGTTCTGGTGCAGTAAGGAAAGCCCTGGCAGAGGTGTTCCAAGCAGAAACAAGAGTGGGCACTCCTCTGTGGTGCCACCATAACGGTGCACACAGCCAGCTCTGCTTCCTAGCCCAGCATCATGCCGTGGACTGGTGGTGCCAGAACCTCAGTTAAAACCTTCAGACAGTTAACTGGTTTATCAAAATACCTCAAAACTACTGCAGTTCACTCTTCTCCCCCCCTTTAATTAAAAAAAGGAAAGAAAGTATAAATAGGAGTATGAGCACAGGGTAATGCATCATTTATAAATAGTCTTGTTAGCACAGAAAACAAAACATGGCTTTGAAAATAAAACCTCCTGCTGCGGACTCTGCTATGTTTGATGGGAGCCCTTCAAAAGAGTTAATGGCTTAATGGAGGCTGTTTGTGTGGGGACTTCGATCTGTACCTGCTGTCCCCTGTCACTCCCTGGAAACTTGGCGGCAGATGTTGCAGCATTAAGTTGTCTCTGAAGTGGCTCTCTGTCCTCATCTCCCCACCACAACAGAGTCAAACTATATTAGATCTCTTTATTTGTGCCCGAGGCATGTTTGGGAGCGCAGCTGTGTCCACCCCCACTCCACCTTTCGTGTTTCAGCCTCCAGGCAGCAAATGTGAGACCAAAACTGTTCTGCCACTCTCGACTACACCTGCTGACAATCCTGTAGCCTCGCTGCAGGCTGCTGAGGACCTGGGCCTCCCTCTAAACAGATGTCAGCGACAACCTGCTAGCTCACACCTGTACAAGCTTCCCTAACCTCACGGATTGCAAGCTGAAAAATTTATGACTCTAAGGACTTCCAGCCCAAATCAAAGCTTCTCGGCTCAACTGCGTGCAGACCTCAAACTGGGCCACCCTCGGCATTATCTGGCAATGTGGCAGAGGTGGGAGAGGAGAGAGAAGAAAGAAAAAGCTTGCCCTGCTTTGATACTTCATGCCTAAATTTCAAGGACTTGAATTCAGCAGTGAATTCTTCTACCAATGGGAACTACCAAGTTCTTAAACAGCAAAACAAGGAGGACAAAACAAAACAACTGTGTGGCTGCTGTTTACCGTAAAAGTGCTTCCAAAGTGCATCTTTCAATGTCCTTAGTTAGTTCCTAAGGTGTTATTTTTTCCTGTTGTGCCACTCTTCTGGCTGCAGTGCTTTCTTTCATTAACGTCACAGAACTACCAGCATTCATCAGCTGCTAAAGCCTAGCTGTAACATGCCTCTCTTTTGCCCACCGACACAGATACACTTGCCATGCACAAACCTCATCTCCTTGCTGTGGTCGCATCAAAGAGACTCTGTCGTACTGTCTTCGTAGCAGTGCCCACAGCGCATCGAGCCGACCCTGCAGCAACGGAGCAGAGACTTTCAGTACAATAAAATCAGTCAACAAAGTGCACACCAACCTTGCTAAGTTACTGCCCAAGGAGATCCATGGAGAGATCAACAGCTCCTCCCAGCTGGGTAGGCCAGGTAGAGACTTGGGCTGCATCATGACCTCCTAGGGCTGTGGTGCTGCTATTGGCTGACAGTGAATGCTAAGTGCTGTACTCGCTTTCCCTGGGAGCACAGGGGCTGGGACCAAACCTGCGGTTACTTCTGAGTGATCTACAAGTTGTATATTTTTTCGCTACTATTTTGGGTTGAATTGCACCGTGTCCATCCAGGACTTCTCCCACACAATGCTTTAGTTGTTACAGCATGTACACAGCCAGGTTGTGGTTCTCTGTGAACCTGGGTGCTGCACAGGCGGTCCCGCAGGCTCTGACTGCAGTGGGTGGGTTCACCACAAGTGCTCGGGCTGCCTCTGCAGAGCAGCTCTGGTGCTTGTCAGAAGCATCCCGCACCACATGGACAGGCTGCAGAGCTTGCATGTGTGTGTGTGGACAACACATCTTCAGGACTTTCTGGTGGCTAGAAGGGACTTGGGAGGAGTTGTGAAGACACAAAAGATGTATCCATACTCCCATCTAAAACTGTGTATTCTCTGCTTTTACACATTGAAAGCAAGGTGTTTATGGACCCATCTTCAGTTTTTAAGAGGAGCTTATTACAGGTTTGCAAGTGACTCATGGCATCTACAAAGGAAAATGTCTATCTTCTGCCATTTATTATTTTTGACTTGTTTGTCAGAGTTTTTGCTTTATATTGTTCTATATGATTTATGCTTTTCTTGCTTGGTAACAAGTATGTAACAGCCACAAATTGTCTAGCTTTAGGCTTAATTAGATATATATTGAGAGAGACCAAATACCAGTAAAGACCTGTTGGACTTCAGTCTCTTACTGTACAGTATGTCCCTTTTTTGGGGAAGGATCTCAGAATGTAACAGTAATGATGAAGTACTGTATTTAGCGCTAAAAACTGCTCTTGTTACTCATCCTGAGTAGGTGTTCCCTTTGAGAATAGTACATTACACTTGAATGGGAATAACTGAAAAATAATGCATGCATGAGCCTGGAAAGGCAGACAAAATACATCCTTTAGTACAAATTACACTATACAGAAGACTATAAAGATTACCTTAATTGGCGTATACCACTTCTCCTGAATGGCTGGTGAGGTAGGCTTTGGTTTAGGTGGTTTAGGATGAAAAGGTTCTTCTGGTTCTTCTGGGAGTTTCACCACAGCATTTTTTGCCTTTTCTAATCTAGCCCCTTCTTCTGTGGATCCTTTATCACCCCAGCGAACCTAAGTAAAGCCAGAGTTCAGATATAAATGCACTGTATGCAAAGGTCAAGGAAAATGCTACAAATAACAGAAGTAGCTGAAAAAGTTTAAATTTGGAAGAATTTCTATGCAAACTGAAATACTGCAAGAAAATGTTACCATGCATCATACAGGCTGTATAGGAGACAAGAAATATGGGAAATCTTCTCTAATTAATGAGGTAAAAATACCACTTCCAGTTCTGATTTATCCTAAAATATCAGACCTTAATCTGGCACCGATGAAAGCTTAGATTTTTGTTACCCTTTATCTCCTAACACATCACGTTTGTCGAGAAGGCAATACTTGAGCAAGGTTTAGCAGAAGCTTCTTGAAATTGCTCAGGTTTTCAGGGAGTTCTGCAAGAAGATACATACTGAAGAAAACACAGATGAAGCAGTCTAAGCTGCATGGTAAGTAAGTATAAAACACATAGCAGTATATATTTTATCACTGCTACAAGTATATAACATATATAAAAAGGGTTCAAAGAGAAAGGAAACCTGGACTATTGATGTTGGTGAGACAGGCATCTATTTCCAGTTCCACAAAAGGCTGCACTTACTCTGATCTAAAGAGAAAATACAGGGAAAAAACTTTCCTCTAAGAGAGATGATCTGTTTTGCTACAGTAATCTTATTTTATCTTGTAATTGGAAACACTGTGCATCAATTTGAGCAACAATGTTTTCTGTGTTGTACAAAGAAACAAACCTAGACAAGCCTGTTAATTGAACTAAAAGCTATGGCTGAAGTTTCAAAGTTCTTAAAGCTGGCCTGGATTATTTTCAGTGGAAAGCTTTCTAGATCATGAATCTGCTACAGTCTAGCCTGTATGAGGTGCTGATACACCAGGAAGTAAAATTGTGATATTACATCTTGGGTAAATGTGACACGCTGTTGAGTCGTTGAACCGTTACCGGAAAACAGCTTACCATTACTGTGGGACTCCACCAGCACAGTTATTTTTTTCAGGGACCTCCTAACTAAAGATGCCAGGCTTGAGAATTCAAGTAAGAAAAATTTCCCAGAGGGAAAGAATTAAGAGCCTCATTGCACACTGCTTGGAAAGTGGATGTCAGTCCTGTCTTGCTACCTGCCACTTCAGGCACCTGAAAAGTAAGCAGGAAAAGTGCAGGACACAACAACTCTCCCGCTTCAAAGGGGCACAAAATCATTTTGCTCACCAGGAAGACAACATACCCCTGATCTTCCCTCTGCTACCCAGAGAGAGGGAGAAGACTGTGCCAGGTCTTACTAGGGTTGCTCTGTCATGTGCCAGCACAACTGTGCCATAAGAAAAGGAAGCCGCCCAACTTCTTCATCCTTGTCAGCACCATACACAGAATGTGCTGATATGGACAGTAAGGAAAATAATGTAGGCAAGCCAGGGACTGGGCCCCTTCAGAAAAAAGAAATATTTTGGAGGGAAATCTTGTCATTTTATCACCACCACCAAGTGTTTTTTACCGCTGTTACCTCAATGTAGGGAACGAGAGCGGCAAATAGAGCCTTATTTGGTCTGTAATACTGTAACTCACAGCGGTAAAATACAGACCATCCTTTCTGTGCGGAGGGAGTGTTTTGATCCTTACTGTTATTTTGGACTTTACTGTTTGGATTGCTTAGTCATTTCTTTTTCTCACTGGGGAATCCTCTCTGCAATATTAGAATGGGTTTTCATGTCCAAGTAGGCCCTGCTGAGTCATTAATATGCATCTGTATCTTTCACTGTGATCAATGGTACTTTTACGGTGCTTTTTATGAGGTTGTTAAAATGTATTTTAAACACTGTTAAAACTATTTAGAGATAGATGGTGGATTCTTTAGTGACAAAATTACTTTCTCCTTCAGATAAAAGCAACCTCATCCCAAAGAAACTAGAATTTGTGAAGTCTAACAACACAACTTGGACATAAAAAGGTAGTGCCTGTAATGGGTGGGGTCTAGAAATGACATCATAAAACTTGAAAGCAATACTGAAAAACAGCTCTGGGAAGAGTGAACAACACTGGCCGGATTATCCCAGACTGGGGAGAAGCTAGTGGAGAAGGCAGGAGTCAGTGTGTAACTGTTTTAGTACAGGAGCAGTAAGCAGAAATTGCCTGGTTCATTCTCTCTTTTTTTCTATGTAAGGAAGCTGCTGGAAGAATCAAGCCACCAGAAGAACGGTAGAAGAAAGGAGCACAGAGAAGGAATAAAAAATAGCCACATTACCACATGAACTGAAAACGGGGAAGACATATAATGGCTAGTCCAGCAAGTTTTTCACTGGCCATAGGACAGAAACCACATTTAACTGGCAGGTAAGGAATAATCTCCATTTGACCCACTGATCGTCATCTCAATTAGACTGTTCTTGTTTTCTCTCCCATTTCCTCACTTGGTCTGCCCTGATTCACCAAACAGGCAACAAGACAGTGAGAGTTACGAGGTCAGATACAGCTCTGTCCAAGCTGGGGATGGGCTGTTAAACCAAGATTTCCCCCAGCCCCACTGTTAGAGAGTCTACAGGATAGAGGTAAAGCTCCATATTCAAATGCTGAGGCATTTACGATGTGGCACCCAAACCTGAAATGTGTTAGTACTCTCAGGTCCCAGAGAAGGACAGAGACACAGCTTCACAGAATGAGGGGCCTTTCAAGAGCCCACGATTGTGCTGTCAGCAATTTCAGCTGATTTACATCTTTAGCCCTTGGTCCTGCACAAAATTCATAGGCACAGATAGAAAGGATTCCTAACCTAATCATTACTTTCTGCTTTCCTTTTTAAAGAGGAAGTATGGTATTTTTTCATGGTGATGAACATGCATTTAGGTAATATTTAATGATATTACCTGCATTGATGAGATACCTATCGGTTTTCTGTTTTATTGTTTAAGATCCCATTTACAAACTGTAGTGACACAAACCCTGGAACCCCTCCTGGAACTCCTGGAGGCTCATTATGGCTCCCCTTAGAAATCCAGGCTCGTAAAACTTTAAGTTGGAAAGCGTTCTCTAGTTTGCCGCTGAAAAGTCCTGTGCCAACTTTTCTTTTTATAAAATCTGAAGCTCTTCTAAATTAGCCATTTTAAACTGCTGAATGAAACACATATAAGCAACACAGCTTTAAACTTGCACATTCTTCTGCCACATTTTAAAAAGAACTCAAGCAAAGCTGAACTCTTAGGCAAGTACTTTCAAAGTTACATCAAGATGTACATCAGTGCAGCCCGAGTGGGAATTTCAGACAGAGAGTTTCCTAGATTGAAGTTAAAAACTGCAGAAAACTGCTTTACAAATTCCATAAAGGCTGACTTGACTACAAAATGTGACATAAGGACGTGCCCATAAGGATGCACATTTTTCATTCTGTTTTAATTAACATGATGCTATCATGTCTCTTCAAAGACAGGCACTGTTGTTGCTAAGAGTTCCTTTGGGATCAAGCCTCTCCTTAGCATCACCATTGTCAATGTGTTTGGCTGGCCTACACTTGGAGGACTTATGTTTCACTGTAATTTCTTCCAAAACATTCAGAAAAGGCTCTAACTCTCTCATTAGCTTGAAGGAAAGAGCATGTCTTCATTTAAAGTTCCAGTCAAATGGAACTACTGAAAGCTGTTCTTTCATAGAGAAGGTCAAAATTGTTCGATATGGTAGAAAATTTTACAAGGCTTATGTCACCAAGAAGGAAGCACACATTACACCCTTGTATTTTCAGCATGCTTTAGAAGTCTTTGTTTCCACCATTTGCAGCCTCAGAGAGTTAGTGTTTTAGCGAACTGGCCTCTCCATATTGTACCAACCTCCATCCTTTTAATTCCTCCAACTCCTCGTCCACCATAGTAGGAAGCATCCACCGTGGGCCATTTCTTGGTAGGCAAAGGCTCTTCTTCTTCCTGTCCATAAATTGAAATAACATTTACTTCAGAAAGATACTTCCCCCTGCCAAGTGTCTTTTTAGTATATTTCAGTAGAGTTCACAGAGAGTAAGTTTTCCCATGTTAAGTGTGAAGGATCAGATATTTAGGCTCCCCAAGTGTCCACCTATTTCCAAACAAAATCTGGTCACGTTTGGAAATATTTTTGATGTTTTGTGTGGGAAAAGCATCGTTGGCGACCAAAAGCGAAGTCCAAAGGGGGATTCTAGCTGCGTATTGTACTGGCAGTCATTCATTTGCCTCATCCTTGTCCTTTCCACTGCTAAAAATAAGCAAACGCACAGAAAGAACAGGATTTGCAATGGCTTCTTCTACACAAAGTGTAATGCCTTCGAAGAGCCAGATCACCAACCCTACTCATTTGGATTCAGCAGCCAGTGCTCAGCAGATCTGCAGGTGAATGTTATGTGGCTGATCGCAGTTTCGAAGCCAGCCTTTGTCAGACCCGCTCTCAGCTGCCACATCTCAACAGAGTGCCTTATCCTAGACTTAAGTGTCCAACTCCACGAAGTACAGTGCTCCAGCAATGGGTTAAATCAGGACTGAGGAGCAAAAATACAGAAGATGGTAGCAGATCCTCTAGTGTGTTATTGCCCATAAGAGGGAAAAAAATCCTCTTGTAACAGTTCTTTGGAGTCTGGAATGCAAAGCTGTGGAAAATGCTGTTGAAGTCAAACACGGATCTTTAGACTATTAAACAAGAGCTACTCGGTCCTTCTGCTTTTGCTACAGAATGGGAAAAATAATGTTCAACTGTCTTGGGATAAAACCCCTAAATATTTTTGCGGATTTGGGCTTAATTACCACTACACTGAGCTGACTGAGACAGAACAGTGATTTGGACTTGGGCCATCCTGCTCTAAGCTTAAGGCTTCCCACGGGGCAGTTCTTTCTTCTTTCATGGGGCCACTAGGACAAAGAGCCGGATTCACAGAACACAGGAAAGCACAGAGGAGTAGTATTGTGTAAGTGTGTGATGAGTGGAGCACTGTTGTACCATACCTCTTTTGGAGCTGGTGGAGGTGGAGGGGGATCTTTGATGACCTGAAAGAGGAAAGCATATAAAAGCATAAGGAATTGCACTGGCAGCATCCAAAAGCCAACAGAAAATGTTAAAAGTGAACTGTTTGCATCTGAGTCCCCCACATCTGCTTGCAAACTGACAACCACTGATGCCAAGTCCCTTGGGTATCGATTATCAAGGCCTTCTGGAAATTAACACCATCCGTCTAACAGAAAATAACATCAATTGACTGGCAGACACTCTTTGGGCAGACGCGTCTGCCACTTTGCTTCCTGACCGGATAAGACTCAGTCATTCTAAGTAATAGCCAGTGATGAAACCCTATGGAGTTAATTAGCAAGCCTGGGAAGAAAAGCATCCCAGGGTCTATGTGAGGTCTTGCATAATCTTGCGCCAAGATGCCTGCTTCCTTATGCCATGCTGCTGGATAATTTCTGGCCCCATGACATGCATGAAATGTCTTCTAGTAGCTCAGGCTTCACATCTAGACATCCAGATCTTTTCCAAAAATCTCACATTTCAGATCTAATAATTTAAGTATGTAGCTCCTTGACTGTTCAGTGTGGAGTACCTGCAAGCAGTAGTTACGTTCACAGGGCTCAAAGTGTTTCTGGATAAGGCCTGCTCTTAAGATAATTCACTTGCACCTATCTTTAAACCTCTACTTAGAGTTTCTTACTGTTCCCTTTCTCACATACGTAGAGTAAATTTCGGGGAGTTCCTGGTACTGACAGGAATCCACTGAGCAGTACCGGAAAAGGAGGAGGAACGCAGCCACCCTCTTATGATAAAGAAGAAAACTGAATGCACAGCCTTTCTTCCCCAGGAAAAGCAGGTTTGCAAGCTAAAAAGCATTACTTTGATGCTATCAAGTAATATTTTGTGTTTAGACCTGGACAGGCTGGAGAGCTGGG